TGACTTCAATCTAATAGAAAATCTGTGTGGAATCATGTGATCCCACATCGGTGATCCCAAACTGACTTTACACAACTTGAGCAAATCTGGGCAAAGACAAATGAGTGAAACTTGTATATTCCTGGTGTGCAAATATGGTAGAGTCTAAAAAAGACCCAAATACTGACTTTGGGGGTCAATCCCCCCTTCATTAGGGGGTGAAGGCTTGTGCCATCAACATACTTTAGTTTTGCATTCTTCTGCGCTGTTTTTTCTGACATTTAACTAATTTCATAACAGTATTCAGTTTGACAATTCAGGTGTTCATTAAAATGTTCATCCAGGGAATGCGTATACATCATTTGTAATTGTAATTAAACAGAAAGCGATGTCTTTGGAAGGGATGAATATTTTACCTGATTGACCTGTTTAAGTTCACATTTAAAGTTCTGATGGCAACAGTTTTAATATTCAAACTTTTGAAATAGCATTGTATTTAGGTAGAAGGGTTTGATTACTGTGACTTTCTGCTTTTATATTCATGTTAGATGTGCAGAAGAGACCATAATAAAACACAGTCACTTTTATCTAAAATGCCTCCGTTACATAAGTTTTAAAAAGCTCTTGGGTATACAATGTGAGCAGATAATCCACCTATAAAAGCTTACAGCACACCTGAGTTGTATTGTCTGAGATTGGCATAGCATATTCAGAGATGATAATGATACGTGAAATTTGGATTTATTGTAAAAATCATATCCATTTGTCTCCAGCTCTCCCATACCAGAAGAAGTGAGGTGATATGTTTAAAGGTAGAAATAAAACCCATTCATTTCTAAAAAAGAGTCAACAGTACCAAGATTCTTGCCAAAATAAAGAATGTAATCAACAGGTATCAGACTGATCAATTAATCCAGTGATACTGTCATAGGTTTGCATGAAGCACCTTTTTTTTTATTCATCAAAACTAGGGAATCAAAACTCCCTAATGGGGCTTGTTTGCCTCTTTCAGACTTTTCTTTCTGTGTGAGCTGTCTGCAGCTTCGCTGGTTTCTCCAGCTCAGTTCCCACACAGAGCCCTGGTAGTGTGGCTTCACTCCAGGCTCTTCCAAGCTCACACAGCTACCTAACGAGAGCCCCGGTTTATTTATAGAGTGACCCGCAGCTGCTGTCTATTGTGGGAGTAACAACCAACAGCTGTGGCCTGTTAAATCCAGAAATATCTTATGTCCTTGTGTTATATGTTCAGTCCGTTATCTCCTTTTCTAAAGACCTGCATTCAGGTCTCATAACATTTAAGGTCTGAAATACATCAGAATATGGACCAACCCGCAGGTTCACAAACATTTCATGGTACTGCATATACATTGAATATAATGAAA